GGCGGGAGGTTGCAGCAGACCCAGATGTCGAGACGGCCCCAGGTGTTGAGGACTTCGTCGAGGAGGGCGAGGGTGGCTTCTTCGGTGTTGGTCGGGTGCGGGTAGGGGATTATTTTCGTTTTGGGGTAGGGTGTTGGCGGGAGGGAGGTGGAAGTGGAGAGGGAGGTGGAAGTGGAGAGGGAGGTGGAAGGGGTGCAGGCGTAGATGCAGGCTGCGCCGTGGGCTGGGGGTGTTAGTTGTAGGAGATGGGATGTATGGGGAGGGAGGAGGATAGGGATTGGGAGGTGAAGAGGAGATGTATGAAGGGTGGTTGCTCACCTGCTAGTTCGGTCACTATAGCTTGTCCGACTGATTCGCTGGCGCCTGTCACTACGCAGACGAAGCCGTACTACATTGGATTTAGAGGTTCAGATCCTAGAAGAGAGTGTACAGCACATACTAGTTTTCCATCTGATCTATATGGCGAGAAATGCTCGGAATCGAGAGTGTCCTGAGGCAGTGGCATGGTTGCTGTTTGTTCCCTTGGTCACGAGTGCAGAAGTCATCAGTATATTTGATGGGCTTTGTGCGTGTCATATTCGATCCTAGATGTCTTGCTGTTCCATATCATTGTGCATATCTCTACTGCGCGGAGATGCAGTCTGGAGAGCTGTGGTTGGAGGCTGGTCCGCATCGGCTTATCGTACATAAATGCTTATCTCCACGTCGCGATTGTGGTGCAGACCTCCGCGGGGTAGAAAGGGTGTCTTCCGGGGGGTTCATATGGCGATATCACAGGTGCTTTGAAGTATGGACGCGAAAGGTTGGGTGTACTTGTCTTGCTTAATGTTTTGTAAAGCCGCTGAAGCATGAGTCTAATTATATTCCCCGACTTTGACCTCCATCACTCCAGCCCCGACCTCAGAAGCTGGAAGCACCTGTGTTACCGAGTTGCTTTTCCAAATTCTACGCACTTCCCTCCTTCTGCAGTTTATCCCTCGGCGGCAACGCATCCGGTCCAAAGCTCACGGGCAGCAGCTCTCCCATGGTCTTAACCTTGAAGACTCCATTCTTAGTGAACATGAAGATCGGCGTGCTCAAGTCGAGAAACTCCCTCAAGAACTGGCGACACATTCCGCAGGGCGAGCAGAAGTCATCCATATCCGTAGCCACGCCAATCGCCTTGAAAGATCCCAGCTTGTGACCCTGGAACACGGCGTAACCCATTGCGACGCGCTCGGCACACGTGCCTACGGGGTAGGAGGCGTTCTCCACATTTGCGCCCGTTATGATGTGGTGTTCGGCGTTGTTCGGGGAGGGCGTGTTGAGGAGGAGGGAGGCGCCGACGCGGAAGAGGGAGTATGGGCCTGGGAGGTGGTTAGCTATGGTGCTGTTCTCATGCCTTTTTCTGACATATTGTCCGTATTCAGGATTGAAGAAAGCTCAAAACGTACAATAAGCCCCCGCTCTTGCATCAAGGCATGTTGTAGCAATAGCTTGCAGCTCCGCGGCTGATACGCCGTGAATCAGTCCATCATCGGATTGCTGTACCGAGTCTGCTGGCACAGGTTTGATGGCTTGCGTGGTCATGGTGAAGGGAAGGAGAGAATGGAGGGGTGATGGTGGGGGACGTATATGTGCAACGGTAAGCCGCGGCTTATAAACACGCTAACGGGATCAGGCAGGTGCTTACAGCATCAGTGAATGCAAAAAGTTCAGACACGGGGTTGCGCGAGATGTAAACAGAGTATAAGACAATCCGAGTTGTGAATTTGAGTTGAAAACTCTGCTTTCATTGCTTATAAGTTCGTTACTATTTGTGGTGGAATATACGGCTTTGAGAGTACACAGGTGGTTCCGCATGCGACACAACGGGTACAAAACGACGCTCACTTGAGTTTAAAGATCAACGCAAACAACCTCGTTTCAACATGGGTATCTAATGAATAGAAGGGGGTTACAAAGTGTTGTACAAGGAGCGTAGCCCAAGCGGACTACATCAACGTCTCGAACCTAGCCTAGTGATCCAGAACCACCGGCTTGCCCTTCTCCCACGCATGCAGACTCTCCTGTATGTTGATCCAATATCTCAACCTGACTGCCTCCGCCTTTGCCGCCTCCAAGTTATCCTCTGCAAATGCCTCATCCAACGCCTGAACCGTCTCCGCCACCCTAGCCTCATTCTCCCGCTTCATTTCTACCAGGTCTTCCTCAGACTGCGCCTCCTCGATGCGCTCTCGTGCATCCAGCACCTCCATCAGTAACTCTGGGTCGTCCACCTTTGCCGTCTCGTCTTCTGCGAGTTCTATCCCACGTAACGACAGCAGATACTGTGCGCGAAGGAGTGGCGATTGTAGGGTTTTGTAAGCTTCATTGATCCGCGCAGAGAGACCTTGCGCTTTCTTCTTGTCTTCTTGCGGATGGAGATCTGGGTGTGCTCGCGCTTGAAGTTGGAGGAATTCGCGCTTGAGAGCGTCTAGGTCGACAGCGAAGGGTCCTTGAGGAGGGGGGCCGCCAGGTACGGAGCGCGGGAAAAACGAGTAATGTGTCTGCGGCGCGGGTTTCGTGTCTTCCTTCGAGGAGGGAGAGCTTGTAGACTGGAATCTTCGGGACGGTAGTGGCGCGGAGACTCCATGGGCGCAAAATACGCAGACTGCTGGTCTTTGTCGTGCAGAAATCGGCGTCGGAACGGAGCGGGAGGGAATGTTTGCAATGCGGAGGCCGGCGATGGCTGCGGCGGTTCTGGATCTCATTTTGTGAGGTCGAATAGTAGGGACAGGTGTCGTTGTGGTGTAAGTTTTTGTATAGCCCGTCTCTGATGAACTTCGTACATAGCCCTGGAGAGGCGTCGCTTGGTTACGTCATCACCCTCTTGTCTCACATGCGCAAGCTTTCATGTTACAAAGACGGCGTCGCCGACACCCACTGCACTTGAAAATCTCAGTTGGACCAAATGATCAAGCTCATGACATGGAACGAATCTGGGAGCGTGCTGTCATGTCGTCTCAGGGCTTTTTGAAGTCGTCCTCATTACAAGTTCTCCCTGAGAACACGGCGGGGAGCTTGCCCCAGGGTGGGTAACGAGCACCTTCAGACTGAGAGAAGCTCATACGACAAATGCCATAGATATATGTCAGAGCCATATCTGATACACCTAGGAAGTCTACATCCCGTCGACCGTGTGCTTCACGGGAGGGGTTCCCAATCTTCGAGTTCATAAGTCGCAAATGATAAGCATGGTACCTATAGCGTACTACCATAATCCCTCTTCTTGTACACGGATAGCTCAGGGATCCGACTGAACACTCGACTGGGTATCATCATCTTCCCTCTGCGCGGCGTTCTCTATTTGTTTTTCGATTTTTTTAAGCACGAGATCTGTAGCCTGAACGGCCTCCTTTTGGGATCGCAATTCCAGCAATAGACGCTCAAGCTGTCCGGGAAGAATTTGGCGCATTGATTGCCGCACGAATTCTGGCGGGTCGGCAATCTCGTCTGCAGCCTGCTGTAGCTCGTCTCGCCACTCGCGGCTGGCTTTCAGTTGAGCTCTAAGGTAACGTTCGGCGACGATGGGCAACAACCCAGGCTCGGGCGTCGGAACTGTCCCCTGCATCTTGTTGGTTGTCCTTACAAGATCAAATTTTACTCTGGCATGGTCTCGTGCTAATGTATCCGCGAGACAAGACAGGTACTGCGTCTGCATTTCTCCCCACTCCTCAGTAGCAGAATCTCCATACTCCCTGGCAGCCAACACACTCAGAAGATATGAGAGCGATTCACTGAACTTGCGGTCAAGGTTCCGCAGGTCCTCCGCGTACTGTTCGACCTCCTTTCGATCGTTCCAGTCCGGTTCTCGCAGTTCGACATTCGGGCTCAGGTACTTTTGGCCGGAAAGATCCCAGCCAAGGGGTGTTAGAAGTGGTAGCGGTGGAAAGTTAGGATCGGGCGAACGGACCCAGAATGGCGAAAATGGACAACCGGGAATGCCTCCAATGAAAATATTCCCCTCTTGCCCAGTCCCGGTGCAACAACTGTTCCCCTCCTGTTCAGGCAAATTGTTCCCCTCTTCTAGAATCAAACTGTTCTGTTGTTCTGCAGACATATTGTTGCGCAGTTGTTCAAGCAAACTGTTTTCCCCTTGTGTTCCAGACACATTTCCTTGTCCAGTTTTCTTTAAGGCCCGATATCCAGCCGCCACGGTCTCATCCAACTTCCGTTGCTCGAAGGCCATCTCATAAAGATTGGAGGTATTCTGCAAATAAAGGTGGCCACCGAGACTCCCGAGGAGGCAGCCAATTTGGGCCGCGCCCACATATCGCCGCCAGCCATAAACGCCTGGAAATGACCGCCTGGTCATTGCCAGGAGGAGAGAAACGCCACCACCGAGCAGGACGGCATCGTCCACTGTGGTATGCCCGTTGAATTCGACCAGCTTTCCACGATTGATCTTGATGCCTTGACTGCGCAATTCCTCTCGAGCGCAATGCCCATCCCACCAATGGACAGAACCTTGCATGGCAGCCACAGGCACTGTCCATGCTGCCACGGAGCGAATCAGAGTTCCCGGTTTGTTTTTGCCAAAAATCGAGAGGACGGCGGTGGTAGCAAATCCAAGAGAGCACGCAGCGGCCGGAATGTACGAAGTAGCTCTGTTTGCTTCAAGAGGTTCAAGAGCGCGATAGAGCACCGGGTGCTGGCCTTCACCTATGTGGTCGTAAGCTCTTGATAAAAACACAGCACAACATTGATCAGGGCAGATGATATAACGTACCTGCTGGCACAAACAGACGCACCATCGCGCAAACTGCTCTAGGCCGAGCTTCAGGCCAGCCAATCGGCTTATAAATCCGCTTGATTGAAGGTCAACAACCCAGGAACACAACGCGTCGAGGAAACACACTACTGACATTCTTGGCGCCATGCTAACTCTCCAATCGGATTCACTTGATTGATGACAATGTTAAATCAAAAATTGATGAGACATAATTTAAATAAGCTCCAAAATTTACAACTCAAACAATGGTCTTATGGTCTAGTGGTATGATTCTCGCTTAGGGCACCTAAGCAGCTTGCGAGAGGCCCCGCGTTCGAATCGCGGTAAGACCCTTTTTGCCTCTAGTGGAAATTCGAACCTATCGTCACTGCATCTTTTTTTACTCTTCCATGAAACACCGCAACCGCGGCTGGGGCATCTCCGCCGCCAAAGGAACAAGCCGCAATAGCAACCCCTTACCACAAAGGAGGAACGAGGGGTTTCCATCTGCGTTTTGACGGGCAACGTTGAGCTATCTCACTTTCTAACTTGCGGAACTACAACAGTAGAGCTGACAGTAGCAACCGTCTTACAAGTGACCGCGCAGTTCTCTAGCAAGTTCCAAAGTCCGTTACGACGATTGAACAATCGATACGAATATCCTCCATCAAAGCGAGCTTCACCTCAAAGCCCAGAGCGTGGGATTAGTCGGTCGAACAACAAATCGACAGATTCCTTCACAACAATCAATGTTCAGATGAAGGAAGTCCGGTCTCGATCCCACCAATCTCAGTTATTGGAAACATCATGCAGCTCCAATTGGACTGAGCAGGGTATGTACAAGCAGGATGTCGTGGTCCCATATTAGTGGATGTCACGAGAGAGATGCATGCACGAGGAGTGGGTCCGGTATACCGGAAGAGGTCGCGTGAGAGGGAGGGCAAATGGAGACTGAAGGCAGAATCTGCGGTGAATGTGAGCGGACTTTTCGTGAACCAAAGAGAGCACTGGTCCTGGCCGAGTATGCGGGCCGATCAGAAGCGGGAGAAGACCCGATGTCGTGCATTGGGAGACTGCGGGGTTTGGGCACCCAAGTGGTGGCAAGATATAAAACCAGTGCGTCATCATTTGAGCTTGATCAGACGTCCTGGATGCGCAAAAGAGACACGTCGGATCTTCATCGTGATTTACCATTGACAATGAGAAGCAAAGCTGTTGTAAGATGAGGAAAGAACACCAAAGACCCGCCGCGAGGCAAATGACTGTCTGGTAGGCGCCGTGTGACACCACAAAGAAGAGATCCAAGAGTCAAGAGACAGTGAGTCCTTGACCCAACACCAAATAAACCAAACCAAGTACAACGCAAGGAAAAAAAAGCGTCGGCATTTCTGGAGAACCAGAAAGAGATAGTAAAACGGGTCTTCGGCGGGTTCAGATGAGAAGACAAGGAACAGAGTCGTTGCTTGCTGTTCAGGAACACTTTTGTACCTACCTCGGCACCGTTCCGTGCAACTGGCGCACTGGGGATGAGTGGGTGACGATGATGTAACCAGGCTCAGAGAGAGGGACAGATCACTTGCGGGTTTTGGCTGGGGGGATGCCCAACTCAGGATGGGACTCCCTCGCGTGCTTCAGTCGTGCATCTGAATAGAGGTCAGTCCCTGGTCGATCCCAATACTCATACTCACCCTTCCGATGATAGGTCTTGTCGCATACACTGCAGGGCCAAATGGTCTCACCACTTTCAGCCATGGGTAGATCCGTCGACTGAGGATGTTTGTCTTGCACATGGCGCAATACATTGCGCTGGCCCCACTTCCCTGTGTAGACTTTATTACAGTCGGGGTAGGGGCAAGTGACTGGTGGTATCTCCCTACTGGGTCTGTCAGTTGGGGTGGGGTAAATCAGGAGCCAAAATACCTGTTCTCCACCAGAGGTACCCTAACAGAACGCGGTAGAGTACTTGCGGACGGGTTCGACCGGTAACACGGAGTGGCCAAGAGCTGACTCAAGTACCGATGTTGAGAGTGAATCGAGTTTCTGAGCTGGCATGTGAGTTGACTGGGACTGAAAGGCAACCGAACATGACTCACGCGATGGCAGGCGAACTTCCAAATGGCTGTACTTGTTTATAGGAGCTGGGATCCGATACAAAGAAGTTCGGTTGAGGAACGTTGTTGGCTGTCTTCCCGGCCGTAACGTACTCTGTCGTCCACCCCTGCCACAATGTTCGTGGAATGGAAACGTCTTTGGATTCATGTGCTCGTCCAGATGTGGTGTAAGACGAGGTGTAAGAGTCGTAAGGTGCGGACAGCTCTTGATATTCGCCGCCGTTGGAGCCAGGTGAGCCAGGGCGCTCGGGAGCCACATCATCACTAAGATATCGGTCAAGAACACGAGAAGCCTCGACAGAAAACGCAATATCTTGGCGTGCAGCTACATTCTGTGCAAATGGAGGAGCCAAATTTCCACGATGAATAGCGGCATGAGGGTATGTCACTGATCCGGTCCCTGGAGCTGAAGATGCAGTGCTTCCCACAGGCATAGTCCTCGGAGATTGGTCACGTAATGGAGTTCCATCGTCTAGTCGTGGACGCTTCCGTGCCGATCGCCCTGTTTGTCCATATCGATTCATACTGGTCCTCAGGTACTTTGGCTGTATAATGCTGATTGTTTGAAGTGATCAGGTTACGCGTCGTCTATGTAAGGCATAGAGCCCTACAAGAGGTGCTGTCAAGGTCGAACTTTGTCACTCCAGAGCATAAACCTCTAACATCGAGTGTCCCAATCCAGGCGGTGTTTCAATAGGTGAGTGTTTCAACACTACGACGAGAGTGTGGTCTGATGGATAGACAAGGAATTCAAAGACGACAGAAGGGGCGGCCAAAGAGACTCAATGGGAATGGATCCGACTCGCCTCACTTTGCGAGACGCGACGAGTTATTTTATGGCTGCTGGGCAGGACCGGAGGATCCCGAAGCGTGTCACCACGTGGACAGGACGTTGAATAGCATCGCTCCGCCCTGAAGTCTGAGGGTACCCTAGGTTATGCAGTTCTGCGTCCCATGGGGGTCCATTTGCCAGCACAGTATGGGAGTATTTGCAGCGCACCATACTTGGTCGGAGATGAGACGCCGCCCTTTTCTTCAAACTGTGGTCGCCTCTTCGCAGGCTCCAGTGGTAAGTACCAAGGCTTTTGTCCTTCCAGTCCTGCCAACACGTGGTCAAATCACGGCGACCGGGTCAACAATTGCTCCCACGAAACGTTTAATGAAGGCTCTCCATGGCGAACTCGGACGTGTCGAGCTGGCCAGCGCATACGCAAGGCCAAAGTCGTGGACGCGTAGCTGCTCATCTGCGGACTTGCAGGGCGACGCCACCAGCAGGCTGGCCAACCGGCACCAGAAAGGGCCGTGGGGGACTCCTCGGATCCACGTGATACCATGTCGCCGGTGAGACAATTAGCAGCCTACAGCAGACCAGATCAACTAGCGAGGGAAACATCAGTCTTGACAGGGTGCAGCAGGGGCAATTGGGATCAATCAGAACGCGCGGGACTCGGAGGCCACAGCAAGCCCACCAGAGGAGGTGGAAGAGGATCCGGTGTCAAAGAGAAGTGAGGAGACCAGGGTTGCGTCGCGCATGTGAAAGGCGGCTAAAAGAATGAAAGCTCCAAAGATCAAAGAGGGCGGATACCAGCACCTTTAACGACAGTTGGGCACGAAAGGGCAATGCTTGGGCGCTCAGAACGAATTGACAAAGTTGAGGCGAATATTATCTCCTTCCGTTCTGGCCGAAGCCACCTTCCGTCTGGTGTTGCTCTCCACGGAAGGCGCCCCTCACCAACCTCGCAGCCACATCTCCCACTGGCCAACGCAGCCTGAGGCACATTCCGAACACCCTTACACGTCACATTTCCACGCATGAAGATTGCCAGCGCAGCGTCGTATACATACGTCATCCGAACTGTATGTGAGTCCGCTACCACTCGAAGAGCGCGGGGATGATGATGAGCCGCTGACAAGGTACGAAGACCTGACGTGCATCTCAGCCCATGCTTCACGCCTTGTGGATGGAGCCATTCATTGCAGCAAAGTGGACCTGAAGACATGCTCTTACGTTCTGGAGCAGTCGAGTTCAGCAGACATTGAACGATATCGGAGTGGCGCTGTGCTAACACTGCGGATTCGGCGGATAAGGCAGCATCTCTGTACTTGAAGGCGAGCGAGATCAACATCGTGAAACCTTCGCGATGATGAACAGGTCCCTCCCCTGTCGAAACTGTCTGGGCATACATCAGCCGTCCCTGACGGTGGCTATGTCATCGTTCCCTTGCCAACCACTGGCTGTACAAACCTGGAGCACGCTCTCTAGCGTATGAACCGTTGTTGTCATCGGAGCTTCCGGCTCGCTGTTTTTGTCGATCACCAGAGACTCGTACTCTGCGGCTCCGAGATTGCTTCTACATGCTGAACGAGAGGTTCGGTACATGTCACGTACAGACAGGAGCGGAAGCGAAGTCTGGACACAACAACAGAATCAGGGTCTCGGAGCCGTAACCGTGGGTGTGGGAGCTCAGGGTCAAGACCCATGGATCCCGGGAAGCTCCCCATCTCTGCGTCGTGCCGCTGACGGGTGTCTCCACGATGGTGTACTGGGAGATGCACCAACCCTACTCGATGCGTCAATTCACATGGGTAGCTCGAGCACTAAGCCTATGTCAAGCTCACCCCACTCCAATTCGTGTTTAGCATCCACCTCAAGCCCAATTCCAACCCTCCCGCTGGAGCCGAAAATGGGACCGGCTGTCTTCGGCTACAAGTCGATCTTCCGGAGCTTCCTGCCACAAGCCCTACTTTGGTGGGAACCTGGTTCCCAGCTTCTTTCGAACGTTTCGCAACCTGGGAGCTTCTTGTATCAGTCTGGAGCAAGACGCTGAACTTTCGTTCTCTCACTCCGCATACAGCACGGGCCGTGCGGTCCAGGGCAGCAGGGCAGCACCGTGTCACAGACTACAATCAGACACGACGTACCAAGCAAAAGAGATGGAGAAGACGACTCTGTTGACCAGACCGGCGCCTCGTCGATCACGAAACCATTGCGTTGCCTTACGATCAGCATTTCAACGACGTATGGCATGACATAGGCGTAAACAATGTCCTATATCAAGAGGTGTCATCTTCTCAGGAAGGAAGGGTTTCGTACGTCCCGGCTCTCGTTCTCCCAGGGCTCTCGCTTGCACTGCTTCTCACCCATTCGTTTTCCTCCCCGGAAACCACTCACTGATCACAAGAAGGCGCCAAACGACAAAGGACCCTCGAAGCACAACCATGCCTGGTGGTGCTCTCAATGG